ACTGTTACTTGTTAATTTGCTAGTCTTCTGGAATAAATATATTGTATGTTGCCTCATATTCTGGTCTTTACAGGTTAGAAATCCTGGGAATTAAGGTCTTCCCCCCAAGTATACGTCATTTACTGAATGTGACACCTCATAAATTTTGGTTCCATTAAATATCTGCCAGTGCATAAGCAGTAGATTCTTTTTAGGTTTAGAGAACTTCTTTCAGTTGTTTCATACAGCGTAGTGTGAATATAAAAGCCTACCTCTGGATTTTATTGAAACCTTAGCAGTTTGTTTTGTCTTTCTTCTGAAAACCTACAGTGTAATTTTCTCAGGTAGGTGCCATAGTGCTCAAAGAGAGGTCTTTTTGGATCTGCATTGTATGAAATGGTATACTGGACAAGGCTTCTTAGTTTACTGAGAGTTTGCATAAATGTATTTACAGGGCATTAGAAAACCCATGGAAGTTTAAAGTTGAGTTGGAAGTTTAACAAAGTGGGATCAAACCTTATGAGAAACCATGTCTAACTTTAAACTTCCCGCTTCAGTTCTGCTATGATTTTCTCGAACACATATGTACTATAATTTTTTTTTCAAAGGGCCTAACAGCTGAGCTAATTAATTTTCCATCAGACTTAGGCAATTCATTTAGAGGAAACTCCAGGTGAACTGAAGTTTGAAACTGTATTTAGATTCGGTTTTGCCCCCCAAGGTGTTCTGTGTAACTATAATACAAAATTTGCCTGACATCTCCACTGTTGGTACTGTCCTGTGATATCTGAAACCCAATGAAGTCAAAACAAGACTCTTAGCTGGCTGAAGTGCCATAGGGAAATAAAGGAGCAACAGTGCTGAGTGTTTACCAATAAATAAATCCATCAACATTTATGAAGTTTCTTGAAAGGATGGAATGAATTTGTATTCTGTAAACATGACCTGGTAATGTTTTACCCAGTGTAATGAAAGACCCATAATTTATGTTTAAAAAGAATAGTGTTTGTGTCAGAAAGTGGGAGATGTCTGTTAGCTGCGTACCTACACTATTTTAAACTTTGAATCTATAAATATTGTGGTTTATACATATATACAGGTATACTGTGCATCTGTAAATTCAACAAAAGTGCTCATACAAAAATCTATTCGTTTTACGTCCACACAACAAATGATATGTCTGATAACAAATGCTTATTATAATAAATATAAACATTACAAATTAATCTGAGCAATCCCATGGAATTTCCCATGTATGTTTGTAGTGGAAGGTTTTTACAATTATATTTATTGACTTGTATCAGAATGAAGAAATATCCCATTTGAACTAACTATCATCTTATATAGGACTTCTATGAGAAGATTGCTTCCTTTTGATTGACATCAAAAAAGAAAACACAAAAATTGAAAAAAGGGCTCTTTGGTGGTAAACACTATGAATTGAAAAAGCAAAAAGTATCTGCTGTATCCACTTGAAAGTTTCATAGTGTTTTTTTCAAACAGGCTTAATTGTTTTAAATAAAAATTGGCTCTGAATGTCAGGCTTGTTAGGAGTGGGGAATTATTACAGTGAAGTTAAATTGCACCGATACTGTGGGTTAACAAAAGAGACCTGAAAAATGTTTCTTTTTAAGCTACACTGTACATAGATTAAGTTTCTGGAGTAGCTACCAAACCAATTGACAGCTACATCGTTTTAGTGGTGATGAATGGTCCTCTAATATGTTTTGAAAAGAACTATAAGTATTACAGATAGGGACACGCTGAGTTGCATCTGAAGCTGGTTCTTTAAGACCATTTGTCTCAAAACGTACAATGTTTCACTGTGATAGTAAATAGAAAGATGATGGGATGATACTTTTTATGGAGCATAATAACAAGTGTTAAATTAATCTCCTTTGCAGTAGGAATGGGTTATTACTGTCTAATATACTTTGAAAGAATTTGGAGTTTCAAAACAGAGTTCTTCCCCCATATTATTGCAAATAATACAAATTTTAAGAAACAGGTGTATTTCTTAGCAGAAGTTGGATTTTGCCATTAGAGGAGGGGTCTGCGTCACACTGGCTATCAGGGAGCAGCAATGACTGGCTGCTCTTTGAGGGCCAGGAGAGAAGGGGGATAAGCCCAGTGGCAGGGGAGGGACCTGGCCAGCCCATGCCCATCCTCTAGTTCCACTGAGAGTCCAGGTCACCCAGCAGATAAAGCCTATTAGGTGACCCAGGGTCCTGACACTGGTTACTCTAAATAACAGTAGAAGTTCTGCTCAAGCTGTATTAATTCATATCTTGAAGTACTTATTTTCTCCTTCTGAAACTTTTTATTTTGCTTCTTCATATGATAGTTGTGTATTAGGGAAATACTTAGATTTTCATAAGAAGTTACTATTGACCACCTAAACCAATATTTGAAAACAGAATAATCAGATGTTCCTTTTTTCTCCGACAAACCAAGACTGAAAGGAATAATTACCTTGTTTTGACAAGTGAACTGAAGAAGTATGACATAGAAGTCTTACAGGAATGCATACATGAAAACTAGGCTGTCATGTTTACAAGGTGATTTTTTTCATATGATGAATTTTTTAAACAGTAAGTGGTCTGTAAACTATACTGATATTTTTCTGAGGAACATAAGCTTCTTTTGGCTATCTTGTAAGGGTGTTAGGAATAAATACAAAATTTTGATTGCGCAGCTACTTTATGAAAACTCTGAATCATTCCAAGATGCTACTATTTTTGCATTACATGTATCTATCATACAGTACATTTTACACCAATCATTGAATGTTCTGCAAGCATAATTGAATGAAAGATGGGTTTGAGTTGTAGCTATTGAATGGCCTTAGCTTCACATTCTGTATAAACTCTGAGATATTTCTGAAGAGAAAAGGGAATGGATGTGTGTGACTATGCCTGAGTATAAGTATACATGAGTGAACAACTGTCTTTCCAGAATTCCTTTTATCTCAATTCTGTAAAGCACTGTTTAATGTTTTTCCATTGGTTGCAGAACCTTGCCAAGTTGGCATACTGTTTTTTTGCCAGAACAACTGACTGAAGTATTTCAGCATTTCAGAGAGTGCTTTTTAACTTCTACTTTTAATTACAGTGTCTTTAATTGCAGTAACATCTGTTAAGATACTTCGAGCCTTATATTCAAAGACTGATCTTCCCTCGGTGTGTTACGTGATGTGTTTGGTTTACGTCCAAACTTCTTAACCAGAAGCGTGACTGAGTTTCAGCTGCATTCCAAAATGTTGAAAGTCTTTGAATTGTTAGTTGCAAAGGAGTATTCTATAGCTTCTGAGAATTTAAGAAAATGATATATCCATGAAATGTTTTGTAGTATTGTGCTGTTTATTCAGAGGTGCGAGATACTAGGCTCTAAAGGACCTTCATTTTTATTCTAACTTTGTTTTGAAAAAGCAAAACCACAATGAGTAGTGTCGTTTCTGCTGAAAACATGTGCAGCTCTGCTACTTGTAGGTCTAGACTCATATTTGACCAAAACTGTCATCCTGACCTTGCATCTTAATTTGACATTCATTTGGAACATGTGTCTTGTAGACCGTTCGCTTAGAAAAACTCTCAATCTATTTTTCTAGTAGTGCCTCTAAGTAAATTTCCAACCGACGCTGTAGTTGCTTCATAAAAGAATATTGCTTTTAAGAAAAGTAGTGTATTTATTACTTAGCTAGCGGGACGAGGGAGGGGATTGTGCCCCTCTGCTCTGCTCTGGTGAGACCCCCTGGAGCCCTGCAGCCAGCTCTGTGGTCCCTAGCATAAGACAGGCCTGGACCTGTTGGAGCAGGGCCAGAGGAGGCCACTGAAAAGATCTAAGGGCTGGAGCCCCTCTGCTACGGGGACACGCTGAGAGAGTTGGGGTTGTTCAGCCTGGAGAGGAGCAGGCTCCAGGGAGACCTGATTGTGGCCTCTCAGTGTTTAAAGGGGGCTGATGAGAAAGATGGGGACAGACTTTTTACCAGGGCCTGTTGCGATAGGACAAGGGGCGATGGTTTTAAACTGAAAGAGGGGAAATTCAGACTAGATGTAAGGAAGAAATTTTTTTACAATGAGGATGGTGAAACACTGGCACAGGTTGCCCAGAGACGTGGTGAATGCCCCATTCCTGGTCACGTTCAAGGCCAGGTTGGACGGGGCTCTGAGCAAACATCATGTGTGTCTGAATAGTTATTTTTGTCCCTCATGTTACTGCTGCAACATGAAAAATATTATTAAATGCTAAGTAGTAGACATGAAATATACTGGTTATTAAAAAGTTTCCATTGTTAATGTGATTTTTGCTTTAACTTTGGTAGCAAGTCATCACTGGTTGTAAAATCTATTTTGTTATTTCTCAAAAAAGAGAAAACAGAAAAAACAAAAACCAGAAAAAAATAAATCGGCTACTGCTTTGCTTCTGATGTGAAGACTCCTGGGATTTACTGTCTTAGTCTGAGTAGGCCAGTAGACTTGACCTGTGTTTTGGCAAAGTATACGTTGAGTAAAATGTGCACAAAGCAAGCTGACAGTTGTTCTCTGGTACACGATAGTGTTTTGGTCTGGATTTTTATGTTCTAGTTATTTGCAATTATGTGGTTAATTTCCAGAAAGCAGTTACTCCTTGGACAGAAATTGTAAGCACATAGGAAATAAATTTACCCTCTAATGTATTTATTTATTTATATAGTTTTCAGGTATAATAGTGAGAATTTTCTTTCTAAATCTAAAAAAAAAAAAAGAAAGCTACTATTCTGATTAAGATAAAAGAACTTACTCTTTTAAACCAGACCAATGAAGATATTCTGAAATTTATCTCTGCTTTTATTTTACAGGTCTCCCTCACTGTAAACTCTACAGAAGCATGCATGAAGTTTACTATTCAACACTGATTTTATAATTCCCTTTTTTTTTTAATCTAAGTATTTCCAGGGAACAAAATGTTGTATATTTTTATATTTATAGTCTGATTTTTTTTCATTATTTAACCACTTTTCTGTATCTGTTTTACAGATTCTGAAAATGGAATGGGGAGGAGAGTATTCTTTTGATTCTTCCAATTTAGACTGTTTGTTAAATGCCCTTCCTGGAGAATTGGAGTTTCAACAAATCATTAGTGATCTTGATGAAAAAATAAAGAAGAACTCTTCTAGGTAAAGAGTATTTTTTATGTATCCAAAATATTAGTGAAAGTCATTACATTTAGGAAGAAACACAGCTTTTCTCTTCTTTCTTTTCTAGTTGTAGGTTAGGATTCTGATAATTATTTCAGTAGTAATTTTACCTTGAACACTTGGGCATTTAACAAATTTTTAATGCCATATAATTTTTGTGCTATAGTCTTTCTCTGTACGGTATTTTTAACAGTTGAATCATCTTAATCTTAGGAATTATTGCAGTAGGTGTGACAGTGGAGGAAGAAAATGTGTATTCCCATGACAGTTGTATTTCCTACAGCTATGACATAGAATTTTTATTCACTAAAAGAGCTACAGAATTTTACAAAAAAAAGTAAAATTTGAACTTAGTTTGTTCTTTAAGCATTTCTAACAGAAGTAGAAAAAGCAAGTAAGTTTATATATATAATCTTTCTTATGTAAGCCATTATTTTACCTATTTCAGTTAAAACTGTTATGCTGCAATAGAAGAGTTTCTAACTAGAATTTGTTTTGTAATATATTTCATTGTCCCCTTTTTTTCTAACATACTGGTTTCCAAATATCAATGCTATAGAAACAGCGGAGTACTGAAAGAGCTCTTTGTTGATGTAGATTTTTTTTCATGACCACAAAAAAATCAGCTTAAGGTTTTGTGCCTTATTTGAAAACCGGTGGCAGTTTTTTGTGGCTAAACTCTTTAGTACCTTTAAAATACTTCGGTCTGTGAAAGATGCTCTTAAGCAAATAAACTAATTGCCCCTGTAGAAAAAATAAGTGTACATTCAGAAATATAACAAATAGCAGAATTTTGGATTAAATTTTTAAAATGCTTGCCTTTGCATAACAGTGCACATTTTAGAGTTGTATGATATCAAAGAGTGCCCTTCATGACATATGTTTTGAGACACTGCAATTTTAATGAAGCCCGCATTTTGGTCCTCCATTTTGGAGGTCTTTGTCTGCTCCCAGACAGCTTCCTGAAGAATGGAGATAAACCATTGCTGTGTCTCATTGAAAACTGATTTAGGTCATCTCTGAATTAATGTTATGTTGCTTATGCCAGGCTGAGACATTTTCAGGCTTTTTTTTTTTTTTTTGTATTGCTCATATCTGACATTTTGAACATTTTCATTTAAAAACTTAGTGTTTACGAATGTAGCTGTGATAGTAATAATCCCCCAGTAGCCATGATAGTGAAGATCTGGGAAATATGGGACTGAAATGTAGATACTTGGAGTTTAGCTGATGTCATAACACAGTTACAGGTACTTATGTTTTGAGTTGCCGTGTTCTTATATACCTGGGAAAAAACAGCATCAGCATTTTGGCAAATGTGTTGTCATCTCTTCAACTACTAAATAAAAGTGACATTGTCATCATTATGCAGAGCCAGCATGAGAGTTAGAAAAATTATTATCGAGATGAGTGCTTGGAATGCATGCTTTACTACTCTTATTGTTTTTAATGGGTGTAAAATGTGTGCCGCTGGTTGAGAAACTTTTGGCTATGGGAAAGCAGGCCAGCTGTTTGTTCCTTTTAATGGTACTTTATATCAGGCAACATTCTATGTTACATTTTACATTAACATCATCACAGTGGAACTGTTTGTATGTTTTTAAGAAGGCTGATTGTCCCCATCTTAGGCACATAGTCCTACAGATTAGAAGGGCCTTTTGCTGTAAATTTCATAAGATCCAAACAGTATTACATCTAAGGAGAGGAGGAAATTGGATTAGGGTGTGGTACACAGCAGTGCATGTCAGGAAAAGCTTTGTATTTCTGCTGAGTAGACACTTAACGCTAGTTTTTAAACTAATTTTCACAAGGAAAATCAGAAAGTACCCCTGTAGTTACCAGGTGATATTTTGCTCCTGTAATATGTCAGTTTCAGAAATGGAGAGGAGTTTAAAAGAAGATGGACAGCAGCTGATGTGACTTTTAAATTAAAAAGAGTCCTTTTATTGCTAATATATTAGAGGTAGCATGGAATGAAATCATTTTCAAGTTACCATTGATCTTTGTAAGTGGTATGATAAGAGCAGCTCTATGCGCTACGGTGATACAATTGGAATACAATCCATTTTTCATCAGATAGATTTATGGTTTTATTATACCACAGAGAATAAACATAATAGTATACAGCATATATATATTTTTAAAAATAAAACATTGTGTAAAAAATTATGATCCAGAAGTGTGTAAATCACTTGAATGCTCATTTATTGCCTTCCAACTGAATAGCTTTTATAAAATTGTGTGACACGACAAATCAGATATGCTTTCCAGCAGTTGAATTACCTTCGGTATTTTTGTATTGTACCAATTCTATTTGGTGCTATAACAAAAAAAAAAAAAAAAAAAAAAACAAAAAAAAGGCCATCTGTGCAAAATTGTTTTATTTGCAAGTTTTAAGGAAGTAAGTTGTTCATTCATTCACTATCATATAACAGAGCTCTTATCACACTTGAATGTTAACTTTATTTTTACAGCAGTTTACAGAGGCAGGTGAATATGAACTCTCAAAACCATTGTCATTGCCGGCCAGTTTTATATAAAATATTAGTCCTGGGTTATTCTAAAGCATGAAGTTGTATTCATAATTTCATCAGGACAGCCATTTGTCTTCAGTCATTCCCTTCACATTTGCTTTGACTTTTACTGTTTATCAAAACTGAGGGGTTTAATTTTTTTTTTTCCTAATATGGAGGATTAAAATTAGTAAGAGTTAATTTTTGATCTATCCACAGAACTAAACTTTCAGCTGATATTGAATACAACTGAGACAGAAAATAGGTACAAAGCTTGACACCAAGCTTATAGTGCATAACTTGAAAGTGATTGTAAGCATGAAATCTCTTCAGCAGTTGATTTTTTTTTTGTGTGTTTTCAGTTCTTCAGTAAGTGATTAGCTGCCTTTTAGCAGTGATAAAGTGGTGATAAATTCTACTTGCCTGTAGGACAATGTAAGGTATTCTAGGTCTTCTTCAACAGAGATGTTGAAGTTACTCAAATTTCAACAAAGTGATTTACTAATAATTGTATCTCCACAATACACTGGAGACTATATCTTTGTAAGGCTTTTTGCAAAGGCTTAATTTGACTTCAGTCTGATAAACTTCAACTCGACCCTCTGTCTATTTAACAGTAATTCAGTCATCTGGCATTTTGATGAAGGTCTTCCTTCAAGGGCTCCACTGAGGTCAATACTAATAAGTGCTTACAGTCTTGCATCTTGTCCCATAACTGGTCAATATAAATTGTAATCATTATTTGAGCAAATAACAAGATCCTTAACTTGCAAATAATAGGACTGTCTGGCAAGTACCTCAATAAGGATGTCAGTATGGCATTTTCCAGTTGTTGATTATAACTTTGCTGATTTGCATAGAAATACTTCCCACTGTCAATACCTCACAGCGAAGGGATGGAGGAGTTTCAAACAGGGTATTAAGCACTGCTATCTCATTCCATTTTCCTGCATCAGAATTGGAGTGTGATTTTAAAGTGAGATGTGCTGCAAGAGTTACCTTTATCTATTTCATTCTGAAGAAAATCTTGGCTTGTTCCTCTCAGGAATTTTCAGGAAGTGGCTACACCTCACTTTCTTGGTATTCAAGAGAATTAGGAAAATCTTGGCATCTGTGCCCAAAATCCTAAAAGTGGTTGAGTATTTGGGAGAATTTAAAATTAGAGCTAATAGTAGAGGAATAAAATCGATAATTTCATCAGTTTTACTCGGACCTAATATGTATCACACCTCTGAAAAAGAATTTGACTCTTCTACATGAATATAACCTGCTTGCTGTACAAGTGCATTACTGTAGTATTTAGTTAAGAATTTAGTACCTATTAAGATACTAGAATAATGTTACTAAAGTCTTTGTCTAAAGAGTGTCTGTCTACCCTGGACTAATTGCTAAGAATGAATAATTAAAATGATAAAGGAATGTAATTTTATTCCTATTCAGCATGTGTTGTCTTTGTGTATGATCACTGAGTTCAGGATTGTTGTTTCTCACCACCATACCAGCAGCTGGACAGCACAGAGCTTCTTGGAGATTGGCTATTTTAATAGACACACAGTTTCTTGACTCCAATCTGCAGTGGTTATCATTGTGTCAGTATCTTAGGTAGCTGGTTAGCTGTCATGTACATCTACAGAATCCCATATCAGATCTTTTACTGCATTGCAAAATATCCCCATTCATTTCATATGAGGATACAGGAGGCAGTGGGTTTTTAGCTATTATTTTTCACTATCGTTATCAATGGTCAATGGAGTTGGGGGACTCCTGTGTTTCTCTGCCAGTCTTCTGAAATAACAGGGCAAAGCTTACATCTTGTGGACTGAAGTACCTCAAGTCTTTAAAACAAGGTTGGAAACTAAAGGTAGGCAGTCATTCAGTTAGAACTGATGGTTCTCCTATGGTTAAGCTGTTGAGTAAGTTCCTCTTGCCGAGGTGCAGCAAAGTCATCACTATTCTGCTTCTTTCAGGTTTCACTGGTATTGTTATTTTACAGTTTCGGTGGATGTGTTTTGTGAGTAGCTAAATTAGACACATGAAGTAGCTTACAAAGTCCTCGAGGCAGGGACTGCATTTTTATTTTATGTCTTAAGGTCCAAGATTACAATAGAAAGAACTTGAGGAAGTGAATTTTTTCAAGGCTTTTAGCTTTATAATAAGCCTGTAACTTTCAGACTCATATTTTAAAGAATTGCTGGTTTTAAAAAACAAGTATCTAGCCTTATTTGTCTTAACAGCATTTTTCTAAAGTGGTAAAGCTTTTGTAGTCAGTTTTTCCATCAGTTTTGTATTGCTGCTTACAAAATAATGTCTAACTTCATTCTCATTGGTCTTATTTTATTTTGAATAGAACTTAGATACAAAATATGAATAATACAGTCAAACTACGAAAAATAAAAGTTAACATACACACAAACATGAGGTGATAACAAAACCTCTATTATTAGAAGTAGCAGCTTTACCTTCTAG